CAACTAATTAGTATTTGGGGTCAAAGTAAGTAGTCTTTTAATATGTCATAAAATGATTTTGGTTGTAAATATGCCTGAAAATATTGTTACACTGAATGACATTTTAATGGGTCTCTTCTGTAAATCAGGGGAAAATGTATTATATTTATTTTTTGCTCAGAAAAACAAAAACAAAATTGCAATTAAATTAAACAGAAAATTTTGTCATATTTTTGGGGAAAAACAACAATTTAAAGCAGTATTACACTTACTGTTTTTATGCTTAAACCCTTTTTCGTCTTTGGCCCATCTATGTATGGTTTCTACATGATAGGAGCCAGTTCTCCCCGTTATATCATCTCTACACTACACATAATCAGATGGAAATAGAGATTGCACTCACAGCCTCTCCAGAGCTCGCAGGCCGAGGAAAGAGTTATTCTTCAGCGCCGAGATCTTATTGTTGCTCAGGATCCTGAGGAGACACGAAAACACAAGCCATAAATACAGAGCCAGAGGACTTACACACAAGCCGTCATCTTTACAGCCAGCAGCAGATTTATAGGAGTGCTTCATATCGGCGGCGTGTTTGTGGCTGTTTGCGGTCAGAATGGAGAAAACAAAACTTCTCCAGCAACACTTTCTCTGGAAATTAACTCGTTGGAGGTTCATTAAGGCATTATATTTATATTTATGCATTTGCAGAGACTTTTATTCAAAGCGACTCGCACTGTATTGAAGGTGGATGTTTAATTAGTTCATGGATTGCCTAAATATGACCTATGACCTTCCTGTTGCCAGAGTCACGCTCTGCTATTGCTACAGAGACACTATGAGAAATTTAATTTAGTTAGATGTTTTAGAAACGTTTAAATGTAAGTCTGAGAGAAAGTGGAAAATGGTTATGAAAAAAATAAATTCTGACCGTTCTTGGCCATAACAAATTAAATTGACATTATAAGTGGAGAAAGAAAGAATAGTGAGATATTAACTTAGAATTGTGATATAAATTCTGAATTGTAAGATATAAACTTAGAATTGTGAGAAATAAATTCTGAATAGTGAGATATAAACAGAATTGTGAGATATAAACTTAGAATTGTGAGATATAAACAGAATTGTGAGATATAAACTTAGAATAGTGAGATATAAACAGAATTGTGAGATATAAACAGAACTGTGATATATAAATTCTGAATAGTGAGATATAAACTTAGAATTGTGATATAAATTCTAAATTGAGAAATATAAACTCAGAATAACAAGATTTATGTAAACTTGCAACTCTGAGAAAAAAGTTTGAATTGTGAGATAAAAACTCGCAATTACCTTTTTTTATGTTTTTATTTCGTGGCGGAAACAAGCTTCCACAGTGTGACTTTCTGTAAAGCTATTCTGAAACAATGCATATTGTGAAAAGCTCTTTACAAATAAATTTAATTTGATTTGACTGTTTCTAAAGAATCTGTAGGCAGAAAATTCTGTTTAAAATTCAATTAGCAATGAACTAGTCTTTCACTGTGAAGGCAGAGAGTGATTTTTTGACATCATTCACATACACAGTATTAAGTCGAAGCTCACGCCGGCGATCTGAAACTGTCCTGTGCCGCTCTATTATTACAAGAGCTAGAGAATAAAAATATGCTGAATTACGGCGGTCCACAGGCACCAATCACAGATCACAATCTCAAGTATTACAAACATCCCTAGCGGACGGCGCAGTGATTTCCAACTAGACGCATTTAATCGCAACATGAAAATTTGATACCGGCATATCCCTATTTCCAACCTCCACGGCCGAAACGCTGCAGATCCAGTGTTTTTCTATAATATCAGGTTACTAGCAACAGCTAACCAAAATAACATATTTCATATCGACTACCATTGACCTTGGACACGAAGCAGATTTAGCTCTGGAGCGCAAGCGTGTGTTCGGAGAGTCCTGAAGTCCTGAATGCAAAAACATTTAAGACCTACACAGATCCACAGGATTTCAGACACGGACTACAGCAGGACCAGGACTTTCTTTGAGATGCTTTAAAGTACTATATAAACATCACGGCACAGGGTAATCATGTACAGTAGTACTACGGTACATACCAAATTACCAGTGTATTTCAGCACAAAAACAATCAAACCACCCACAGTCCAGCTAAAGCAGGTTTAGTGCTGCTCCACACTGATTCAGTCAGTATTTCTATGCAAACATGCTGATTTCTATGCAAACGGAGCTCATTACAGAATGTTGTTGTGTGTCATTGAGAATTGAATGTTCTTTGAATTAAAAGACATTGAAATGTCTTAAGTTCCAATTAAATTCCTCAGTTTGAATAGAGTTGAATTGAGTTGCAATTCATTTAAATGTAAGGAAGTAGAATGGTACATTGAATTTAAATTGTAATTTGAAAAAAGTTTATTTAAACAGCATTTTTAATAAAATTTAGTTTTTCAAAAGTTTGGGATCAGTAAGATTTATATTACTTTTTTAAAGAAGTCTCTTCTGCTCATCAAGGCTGCATTTATTTGATCAAAAATACAGTAAAAATTGTGAAATATTATTACAATCTAAAACAGCTGTTTTCTATGTGAATATCAGTTAAAATGTAATTTATTTCTGTGATCAAAGCTGTATTTTCAGCATCATTACTCCAGTCTTCAGTGTCACATGATCTTCAGAAATCATTCTAATATGCTGATTTATTATTAATGTTTGGAATATTAAGTTTTTTTGCTGCTTAATATAATTTTTATTAACCTGTGATACTTTTTTCAGGAGTCTTTGATGAATAAAAAGTTCAAAAGAACAGCATTTATTCAAAATCGAAACCTTTTGTAACAATGCAAGTCTTTATTGTCACTTTTTATCAATTTTACACATCCTTGCTTAATAAAAGTATTATTAATTTTTTTAATAAAAAAAAAAAGAAAAAGAAAAAAATTACTGACCCCAAACTTTTTAACAGATTTTTATATATATATATATATATATATATATATAT